GCAGGTTAGCAGGAAGCTCTCCACACACTCACCGGACCTGGGCTAGGACTGGGTCTCTGAATTTTATTTTAATGGAATAATTATTTATCATTTTGATATTTACTTGTTCTACTTCTAACTTGTGTCTTCTCAAAATTCATAAGTTGGAATCTCAACCCTGAAAGTGACGGTATTCAGAAATAGGGTTTTTGGAAAATAATATGACTGGGGACCCACTTCTTTACAAGAGAGTTTCGAGAACTTGCTTTTGCTCTCTTCTTTTCCATTTGTAAAAAAAGCTGTTATCCAGAAGATAGAGCAGAGTCCTTCATGAGCAGTGACTGTGCTGCACCTTGACTGTGAATGTTGAGGCTCCAGAACTGAACGTAAATTGTTACTTAGGCCACACAATTCTAAGCTACTTTGTCATAGCACACTGTGCTAAGACTGTCTTTTCCACAGTAATATTTTAAGGGTCATTCATATTTGAGAGTATAACTCACTTTTTTTATGTATTAGTACAAGGTCTACAGGGTCTACAGGGTCTCAGTACATAGATTGGACTCCTAGTGATGCTCCTGTTTTCAGTCTCCCAAGTGCTGGGTTTAGAGGCGTGCACCACCACACATAGTTTCAGTCCCTATCTCAGCACACCCCTGGGGTGGGGCCGACACAACAGGTCAGAGAGCAAATCCTGGCTGCTATGCTCTCCCTAAGCAGGCGCTTTAGTCTGCTGAGCTATCTGGCTGGCCCTAACTCACTTTTTAATACAAGCTCATTGTATACTATAATGTAATTTCATATTTTAGGTGTTTTGTGAATGCGGACATAAAGGTTGCTTTCATTTTTTACAACAGTGCTTTTATGAACATTCTATGTATCTTTTGGTGTACAGGTTATCTACATTATTGCCAAGATTCAGTTGCTTTTAATCTTCAAAAGCAGGGATTTCATACTGTTTAAAATAATATCTAGGAGTAAAAATGCTAGTTAATAAAACTTTTCCCAAGTGGTTACACTGTTTACCCTACAGCTAACTGGTGGGTTGAAAGTTTGTTCCTATATTTTTTCAAGATTGGATGGTGTTATATAGCACTTGTGTATTTATCTTGTGATTTTAATTTGTATGTAATTTTTTTTTTCCTTTTTATGATCTTGTCTAGCTTTACGTTTTGTTAGGCAAGTCAGTTCCTTTTTAGTAGGATGTAAATTTAACATTTATTCAGTCGGTTCTTGATTTTAGGTCATGCTTATAAAAAAATGAGTGGTGTAGAACCTTTAAAGGCAGTGTGCAAATAATAAGGGTTAGACTTAACTGGAAGCTACAAACTTCTACAGTATTCAGATACAGATCAAAAACATGAATTTCTTTTATGACTATGTTTCACTTTATTAAGTTGTAAACCAATAGGCTTTGACCAGTTGATGCTTAGATTCTGTTTTACTAGTGTATGAATTTCCTGTATTGTTTTCTTGTTGGCTTGAAAATTTGTTACTTTTATTATAGTAACTTATACTATAAGATGTTGATTTTTTTTTCTTTTTCATTAGAAAAATGTCAAATTTTGCTTCTGTGAAGTATAATTTAAGTCAGTTCTCCAAGGACACTTCTTGTTGAAGGATTTTGTAGGCTACCTTTTATTTTGTGAAATTCTAAAAATGCTTTTAAACCTATGAAATTGATCCTAATGTATATGAATTATTCTTTCTCAGAGTGAAGATACACAACAGCAAATCATCAGGGAGACTTTCCATTTGGTATCTAAGAGAGATGAAAATGTTTGTAATTTCCTAGAAGGAGGATTGTAAGTAAAACATTTCATAGATGTTTTTAATTTTTTAGTGATTGAAATATGTATTATTTAGTCTAATTGTGGTTAAAAAATTCATTTTGATTAATTAGATTAGGCAAATTGTCACAGTTTGAAGAATTTTTTTAAAGCTGTGGAGTTATCCTAAAGCTGTGTAGTTTATATATAGATGATATATTCATGTAATAAATACACTATTAAGTGAGTCTCCCTATCCCAACCTTAGTCTTCCCAATTTCTTATGATTCGTTCTAGAAAATTTATTTTCCATTTGCTAATAAAAAGTATAACTTTAATTCATTTTATATATGAGATGACACTATATACTCACTAGATCTTGCTTGTTTTTGCTTAGTAGTTTACAAAGCTTTTTCTATAAACACAGAAGCGTTTCATTCTTTTAGTGACTGTAAGGTACTTCTTAGGATAAATGTTTTTAAACATTTAGATTATACCTTTTATTATTAAAAACAAGAGTAAAGTTTTTTCAAATACCTGTACATACCTATTTATATACCTATAGGATAAATTAGAATCCAGCTAATAGATTTTCTACCTTTGAAATGAGTAAGAATTACTTGTAATTAGCTTGCCAAATATTTTATTTCCTTTTTTTTTTTTCTTTTGGTCTTTTTGAGACAAGGTTTTGCTATGCAGTTCAGGTTGGCCTTGAGCTCATTTTGTAGTCCAGGCTGGTCTCAAATGTACAGCAGTCCTCCTGCCTCAGCCTCTTGAGAGCTGGGATTACAGGTCATTTCTTTTTTTTTTTTCTTTTTTTTCTTTTTTTTCTCTTTTCTTTCTTTCTTTCTTTTTTTTTTTTTTTAATAAGGTTTTACTGTGTAGTTCGGGCTGTACTTGAATACACTGTTGAGCCCACACTGACCTCAAGCTCACTGCAATTCTCTTGCCTTGGCCTCCCAATCCTGGGATTACAGGTGTGCACTACCATGCCTGATTTAAATATAAATAAATACCTTTGGTTGGGATTTGAGATAGGGTCTTGCTATGTAGTTTATGTTGGCCTTAAACTCACTGTGTAGCTCAGGCTGGCCTCAAATTCATGGTGATCTTTCTGCCTCACCCTCCCAAATACTGATATTATAGGCGTGCACCACCATGCCCAGCTATAAATACTTTTAAATTATGGATTCTGTGAAAACACTCTACTCTCACATTGTCATAAATATTTCCTCTCTGTTTATATAATTAATACAACTAAAATGTTTCCTTATTGAAAATTTAAACTGTAAATGAATATTATTATGAGTAACCAAAGATTAGTCAGAGAAATCTGGACTTTTCCATATTTTAGCAGTTACGATGTGGGATTGAAATGTGAAAAAATTGTTGTGGTAATAGAACATGATATGAAAAAATAGTTCAGTGAATAGAGCCTGTTTTTATCTGATCATAAATTTTTACCATGTAGAAAGTTTCTGCCTGACACACAAGGTTCTGAGTTTGATGCCCGGTACCCCACCCCCCCATGTTAGCTTGAATTTCTTAAGTTTGTATCATATCACACATAAATGCATAGTACATACTCATAATTTGTAAGTTGTGTTATAAACTTGAAACTTCATTTATGAGATGGAGGTCTCTATGTGGCCTGTGATAGTCTCCAGCTTGTGGACTCAAGTGATTCTCTTGTCTCAGCCTCTCGTGTAGGAAATGAAGTAGGTCCATGATACTGCTGAGCAGAGACTTCCACTCTTAACAGCTGGGATAAAGTATGCCTCCTTCTCCTTTTGAATTGTACTTGTTCTCGACCTCTTAAATCACTGTATGAGTTTCATTTCTGTTGCCATTTCATAACTTTCATCTTAGCCTCTTAATTTCTTATCTCACAGGGAAGTTATCACCTAGAACAATGCAGTGCATGTAATAGATATGTAAGAACCTGTTTGAACTAGAAATTATGGTTTGGAATTTTCTAACTTTATAAAAAGTAGCAAGTAAACAGAGATGAGGTGATACATCTGGATTCCTCCTAGTTTTGTCCCTGCCAAACTTCTATAGGTCCTTCAAACTGTTGGACTGTAATTTTCTCACGTAAGCTGGAATTTGGACTTAGATAGCTAAAATTTTGTGGTTTTTATATAATGTAGTATATTGCATTTCAGTGTATCCCTATTCTAAGTTAAAGATAAAATTTTATTTTTAAAGGTATGGTTTATATTTGCCATACCAGTATCTTTGGTTTCTTTTAGAAACATTATAGGTTGTCTTGAAATTTGCAGTATTCAAAAGTTTGGTTTCCTTTTAAAGCAAAGCAAAAGAAAATACTAAATTGCTATTTCAGAATGAAATGAAGCCTACTATTTTTATTCTTTCTGTCTCAGGTGATCATTTTAACTACAGTTAAAATATAATCTCAAAATCATTTAAAGTTCCTATTTTAAAATATCTTTTCTAGAAAACTAGCATAGAAGAAATTCTTAATTCTTTTTAGAGATCACTTCTACTTTTGTTATGGTAGGACATAAGAGTGTGTACTAAGAAAAGTTGTTTTGTGGAATTTGGAAATTTAGTGTTAAATTTACCAAGAAATATATGCTATTTTCCTGTGTTTGAATGTTCAAGTAACTTTGAATATTGGTTTTAAATTAGGTTAGCGTTTTAGGGGTCTTTTGAGAAGGTGACATTTTTATTATAAAATTAATTATAATATAGCTAAACTGTATTTAGGAAAATATAAGAGGTCTGGAATGATTCCTAAGTTATTTATAAAATGCGAAAATTCTAGTGAATAGAAATAAAAGTATTTATGAAAGAAATATCTCTTAGCTCCTTGCATTTATATTTCGAAATGATGTTTTTTTGGAGGAGATCTTGATGGTAAATTTAAAACTTAAGAATTGTCATTCCTTTTTTTTTTTGCTTTGTTTTCTAGTTGGTAATCAATCTTAAGATGTGTAACTTACTGTGACCTATGGAGTTAAATCTAGTAAGCACTTACAAATGCCCTATGATCTGATTTCTGCCTGTTTCTTTGACCTCTTGTTTACTAATCTTTTCTTGTCCACTGGCTACTTCTTCCTTGAACATACTTTGTTGTTGATGAAATGGTCTTTTTATTAGTTGTTACCTTAACCTGAAACACTCTTCTCTAATTTTTTTCATGGCCACCTCCTAACCATTAGAGTTCAGGCTAAATGTCACTTTCTTAATCCTCAGTCTAAAGTAGTGAACCCATCAATATGATGTTACCCTGTTTTGACTCTCTGGGTAGCACTTTCCACTATTTGATAATTTTCTTAGTTGATTGTTGCTTCTATCAGTTGTCTGGCACATAGCAGTAACTCAGTGAATAGTTTTATGAATGAATGAATGAGTGAATGAATTAAAATTAAGCTGACTTCACTGACTTCTTTTAATTGATATTTCTAAAGAAAAAAACTGTCCTAGTTTCTGCAATAATTTCACTTTAGTGCTATGCCATTATTACTTTTCATTTTATAAAAAGCTTTTAAATAGTTTATTTGAGCTAATGAAAATGTTTTATATTGTGTCTCATATAACATTCCAACTATTTTTGTCATTTAGATTAATTGGAGGATCTGACAACAAACTGATTTATAGACATTATGCGACACTATATTTTGTCTTCTGTGTGGATTCTTCAGAAAGTGAACTTGGCATTTTAGATCTAATTCAAGTAAGTTAACATTTGCTTTTACTGTGTTAAATAACAGTTTTGGGTTTATGTTTTCTTTAAAGCTTTTCAAGTTTTTCTAAGGTGTTGTTTTGTTTGGTGAGGAATAAATGTTCCATAATAGATGGTGAATATATAAAGAAGGATAGGGATACTAAAGTAAGGATACTAATCTGATTAAGGCTAATGTTCTCTCTCTCTCTCTCCCTCACACACACGCACGCACACGCGCCCACACACACACACACACACACACACACCCCACTGTTCCTGAGTTACTACAAGGAACCTGAGATTCATGCACCTCTCACCATGTGTCCAAATGTGGCCTGTCTCTTCTTGTCTCCTGAAGATCTTTCATAATAATGTCTCTGAAACTCAAGGTTACTCCTCAGAAAATTCTTTTTTAAAAATTTCTTCCAGAGCATTCTCTGTTCTGCAACACTTCCCAATTTTATGTCATGTTATCAAGTTATTTTATGTTTTGCCCCTGTGGTTACAGTCATTTCTTTTTATCTTCTATTCACTGGAGATTTTGTCAACAACTATCAAGGATGTGAAATATTATTCTGTGTGTAAGCTGACAAGTTAACCTACCACAGTTTCATGGATCCTGGCAGAATGTAGAAGACTTGTGGGCCAAAAGTGAAAACTTTATTACTAACAGCAAAGACATTATCCAGAAGGAGGGAGGGAGGAATGGAGGGTAGGAGGGAAGAGAAGAGAAGAGAAGAGAGGGGAGGGAAGGGGAGGAGAAATAATGGCATGCTTGCCCTGATTCCTCACAAGCTATGAAAGGGCTAATAATAAGGCCAGGTGAAACCTGATCCTGGTTGGCTGAGCCACAGCTTAGGAACCCCAGGCTTAGAGAACTGCAGTGTTCTATAATCATGTACAGAGTATCTGCCCCTGTTTGGAAGGAAGAGATTATCTCTTCTGAAGAAGAAGGTAAACCTATCCTTTTCTGTGGAAGATAATATTTTCCAAGGCTGTTTCAAGCATACTTCCAAAGGTAGTATAGAACAGAGACATGAATAACTCTCCTCACAATGCGCATAGAAATATGAAACCCACAGAGCATTGTCTCTTAAAAGAGTTTGTTTCCCAATTCACAAACATTTATTTCAAGACTGCTTGTATCATAATTGTTGGTGATTTCAGTAGTGTTCATGTGAATAATCTCAATTTCAGTTTCTTCTATCAGCTACATTTGATCTTTTTATATCCCTATTTTTGTTACTCTAACAAGACTTTAGGTCTCTCAGTTTTTCCTATCATTTTTTTACTCTCCTTGATCCTAGTGATGTCTTGCCTTTCCTTATTGAATTTAAATTCCTTGGTCAGTCATGATAATCACATCATTCTATACAGTTAACTCCTTGCCTGTACTCATATATATGAAAATATCTAGAAGAAAAGTCAGACCTCCTGGTCGCATTTAAAATCCATGATTCCTTGTAGTGGCCAGTTTTGACTGGCAGCCTGACCAGATTAAGAGACACTAGAGAGGTGACTAGACCATAGGGGCACTAATCTAACAGTGGATGAACATAGTGGCAAGTTCGTAGGTAGCACTTACGAAGTGAGGCAGAGTTGGAAGAAGTGGTCACTGGGTGTGGTGCTTTTGAAGTATTATCTTTTTCTTGGCTTCTTTCCCTGCCATTCTGCTTCCTGGGTGTCATGGCATAAGCCTCTTTTTTTCTGCTATACCCTTTCGCCGTAATGTTTCTACGTTAGAGCCAATCATAGGCTGAAATCTATGCAACTGAGCCAAAGTAAACTTTTCCTTTCTGAAGTCATGTATGTCAGCAAAACAGTGCATAGGTGACTAATACAACCCCTAATGTCACTGAGCCCATCCTTTATGCTGTTTAGTAATCACATTTTATGTCCTTCACTTTCTTGTACTCTTAGGTGACTTACAGACACATCATCTTTCCTCAGATCTCTAGGACCTTACCACGTTTCCTTCCTGTATTACAGATGGAGAATTTCCACAGACCCCCATTGTCTATCCAACTACTTCTGTGCCCTTATATTGTGCTCTACTTTGTCTTTTGTGAGCAAAGAAATCACCATGCTCCTAGCTAAGGCGATCCTTACCTTTTGTTATCATTTCTTTTCTATCTTTTGAATTATTCTTATCAGTGTTGCTGAATCCAAGGGTTCTCATCAGTGCTTCTTTATTTTAGTATATGTGCTGCTAAAGCAAACACTTGATTTTTTTTTTAAAGGATTTTTATTTATTTTTCTGTATTTTTTAGGGAAGAGTCTGCAGGGTGTTCAGGGTCTCACTACTAGATCAGACTCGTAGTGGTTCTCCTGTTTACAGCCTCCCAAGAGCTGGGATTACAGGCAGTGCCACCACGCCCGATCTCAATCACTGTCTCAGCCCGCCCTTGTACATGCTTGCAGGCGCTTTAATCGGCTGAGCTATTTGGCTGGCCTGAAGCATTTAATTTGGATTGTTGATCATGCTTCATGAAATATTTACTTGCCTTTGTGTGTAGGACACTTACTCCCCTGATTTTTATCACACCCCTTTAGTTACTTCACTTTGCTTTGTTTCTCCTACTTCCAAATGTTGGCTATGCCCGGGGGTTCTATGTTTGTCTTCTAACATTATGTGTATGTTGATGGCACCAAAATTTAACTGTTTAAGTCCAGACCTTAGCTTTTAATTCTTCTTAATTAATTACTCCATTACCTAATGGACATCTCTACTGGGTATCTTATACAGATTTCACATTTACTGTGTCTCCAACTGGGGTCTAGATGGTCCATCAAAAATACATATCTCCTGCAGTTTTCCCTTATCAATTAATAACAACTTTATTCTTCCAGTTGAATCAGCCAGTGTATGGGTATTTATCTTTCATTCTTTAGCTGCCATCCCCCTATCTACTGTCTACTTTGTCAGCAGATCCTATAGCATCTGCATAACCTAGCCACTTAGAGTCCTTTCTACTATTAGCATCTTGGTCTAAGCCACTACAGTTATGCTTGCATTGTTAGTTTCCTGGCTGATCTCCCTTCTTCCACTGTTTTTATTTTATTCTGTTTTCTTTCTGGCTTTTATTCAATGCAACAGCCATAGTGATACTATTAAAATATGCTGCATCTTACATTCTTCTATTTTGCAATCTTCAGTGACTTCACTTTGCATTCAGAGGAAAGCCAATTTCAAGTTGTCCTTGAGGTCTCACAGGAGCTGACTTCTTTCTGTTACCTTTATCTCTGCTCCACCTTTCCTTGCTTGCTTGGCTTGCTGTTTCTTAGAAATAACAGGCATGCTTCTACCTCACAGCCTTGTATTTTCTTTTCTTTTTTTTTTTTTTTTTTTTTGGTGGAACAGCAGATTGAACTCAGACCCTTGAGTTTACCAGGGAAGCACTTACTCTACTGAGCCATCTCCCTGGCCCCTGTACTTTCTGAACTTTGCACTTAAAATGTTCTTACGTTTTATAGTCCCACGGCTTGTTCATTCTGGGTTTGTTTGTTTGTTTGTTTTTCAGATTTTGACCCATATATTACCTTCTCAATATGGTATTTTTTGGCCATTGATTCTAAAACTTTTTCTTCTATATTTTCTAACCCCTTCCCTGTTTCTATGTTCTTAAAACACCTATTACCATCTAAATAGTATCATATAATAACCTACTTTATGTTATTTGCTTTTTTTAAATTTTATTTTTCTGTATTTAGGACAGGATCTATAGGGTCTCACTACGTAGATCGTACTTATAGTGATTTTCCTGTTTTCAGCCTCTCAAGCGCTGGGATTATAGGCGTGCGCCACCTCACCTAGTCTCAATCACTGTCTCAGTGTGCCCTGCAGGTGGGGCTGGCAAGGCACACTGTGGATCAAACCCCAGCCTCTGCACTCTGCCTAAGCAGACACTTTTATTCACTGAGCTCTCAGGCCAGCCTTCTTTATGTTTTTTAAAGAATACAAAACAGTAATAAAAAAACAGCATTAAAAACAATACAAAATTTCACTAAACAAATTAACAGGAATTCAACAATGATTGCTATATTGCGTTATGTTATCTTCAAATTAGTTGTTTAGGTTACCACATATAAATGTGCAAAATTGGTTTAAAACGAAATAAAAAGTAATTAAAAAGAAAAAATAAGAATAAAAAAAAGCATTAACTGCTCCTTTCAAAAGACCAGAAGAAATCAGCAGTACAATTATCCAAATTATTCTGCATATATACATAAATATATCTTTTTCCTTTCTTTAATTTGCTCTTACAAGACTGTAGTTGTGTCACTATAAACGTGGGAATCCCTGTAATATGATGTCTTTAACTCTTTTGGGAACATACCTAGAAGGGAAGTAGCTGGTTCATGCACTTTTTTAGTCTTAGTTTTTTGAGGAGTCTACATACTGTTCCCCATGGTGTTTGTACTAGTTTATCATTCCTACCAAAAATGTGGAAGGGTTTATTTTTTCCCCACAGCCTTTCCAGAAGATTTAGGCCACCAAGTAGAATGAATGTAGTACTTTATTCTTGAAGCTTTTGACAATCCTTGAGTTACTTGAGAAATATAAGAAAGCCCCCTGAGCTCTGGAAGGACTGGGGTATTCCAGATCTGAGGAGGATTTAAGAAGCACCTTGACTACCTCAGTATCCTTTTCTGAATACAGAGGATAGGCTTCAGTCCAGCCTGTAAAGGTGTCAGTTAGGATCAACATTTGTTTAAATCCTCCACATGGTATATGTGTAGTCTAATTGACAGTCCTCTCCAAGATATGTCCTTCTCCTGTGTGCAGGGTTGTTTTCTGTTGTTGTTTTTGTATTTTAGGGAAGTGGTCTACAGGGTGTTCAGGGTCTTACTACTAGATCGGACTCATAGTGATCTGCCTGTTTACAGCCTCCCAAGAGCTGAGTTTAAGGACACGCTCCACCATGCCCAGTCTCAATTGCCATCTCAGCACGCTCTGAGGACAGGACCTGCACAGTAGGCCCAGGGATTGAACCACTGGCCCCTGTACC